AATATTATTTTTTATATAGTTTAAACTATAAAACTAACAGCAATTATTATTTCGTGTAATTGGCCTACAGCTATCAACCGTCAAAACTACGAAACGCTATTTCAGGTCTATTAACCCTGAAAATGACCGAGCGCAGCATTACTGGTCCATCGATTCTGAAATGTTTTGAGAGAAATTATTGTAAGTAATAATATTTTTAAAACGTAATTATTTCACCTTTCTACTTCTTATTGTTTTATACAACGTGTGACGTACAACCTCTTTTAAACAGASGATGAGCATCATTGGAAAATATTTTACACTTATATACAAAATATATAATATGTTGTGTCTTATTTTACGTATTTACGACCTGATGGAATTATACATACTCATAATATTCTTTTGAGCATAATAAATTGATTTTGAGCTCTTCTCTAATGYCATGCATGTTTCCTCTCCCGAGGGATCTGATGTAAAACCTATCGAAAACATAGTACACGGAAAAATGTATTTCAACCACGAATTCATCTAAGTACCTATAATATAGGTCCTATATCATGATATTGTTATAATATAATACTCCATAATATCTCGCGATCYATTCGTAATTTATTGTTTCCGCTTATTTTCAACGGAATAATTGTGTTTACATTGTGGTGAGATCCACTCACAACATTCCATATAATATAATATCGTACACTAAAATATTAGGAATGATACTATTAATCACACGGTGTGGATTTCRAACGAAACTCATTAGCGTAATGAGATACTGCACTTACAACGCTGATACTAAATTTAAATTTGTAATCCTTGTTGGAAATAATAAATTTCCTCGCATGGTTGGTGAGCGGCAAAACACAGCAGTGGTAACCTTTCGTTATAATTCTAATGGGTAGGGACTAATCTGCTATGGCTGTCAAGATTCTGCTGTGACCATAGACGATATTTTAACAAGATATTATATATTTGGGCTGAAGGATACAGGTTTTTTTTTTTATCATAACCAATTTTACGTTACCGATTTTTATCACCATAGGAACGCAAATATATACAATAAAAATATATCAGCT